GCCAGCGGTAGCTGATCGCGATGTGATCAATCTGAGTCCAGGCTTGAGATGCAGAAGGGGGACGCCAGGTGGCACATCGGCGATGACTGTGCCGAAAGTTAGTGCTAGCCAGAAACAGGTTGTGGTCTGTGCATAGTTGCAGTAGACGTTCCCCGTTATCTGTCCTGCGACCAACGAGTCCCCATCGGCCACCTAAACGACTCTCTTCTGTGCCTAGACGCCCGACCTGAGTATTCAAGTCTCCAGCTAGTACTACAATATCTGTCGAACGCACTTTCTGGAGAAGAACAGTTAGCTGATGGTAGAACTCGTCCTTGACTGCATCCGGGGTGCAATCTGTCGGGGCATAGGCGGAGATGACGAAAAGACATCGTTTCTCACGCCGATTTCTTCGCATTTTGATGGAACTTTCTAATCTAACAGCACATAACCGACTGTTAATGGGGATCCAGTCGACTAGTGCTGCCTCAGCTCTTGCGCTTAGTGCGACACCAACGCCAGCAAGACCAGACGAAGATGCCACAGGGTCCCCGGATAAACGCACATAAAACAAGCTTTTTGAAGAGACAGATGGAGAGCGAACTTGTAGTACTTCACCAGAGTCTTGAATACGGGTCTCGGATAGACAACACACATCAATATTAAGACTTTCCAAAGACATAGCCAGCCCTATCTGTTGTCCGACCTGCATAAGTGTGCGAACGTTGAAGGCAGCCAGTTTGAATGGTGCACGTGGTTTCAGAAAAACTGCTTCAGTACTCGTATTCGGTGGCAACATACAATTTTCAACCAGGCAGTGACTCGAGAACGTTTAGATAAAGCTGAATTTTCACCATAGGCGAGCTGCTGTCTGAGTCGAAACGGATACAAAAAGTAGAAATAGGATATAGTGAATAAATGACGTAGTAAATAGTAATAATAATAATAATACCAGTCATTTCAATGTTAGTCAGAGAGAAACGAATATTTTCTATAAGCAGATAGTTCATCATAGTTTTAGTGTGTGGGCTGAGATACTGCCCGGGTGCCCAAACCGAAGCAGGTGGTTTTCTTAGGGGACCACACCCCGAGCCTTTGACCTAAAGGTCTAGTCCACAAGGCAGTGGAGCATCGTGAGGAGATGCAGTCCCATGGAAGCCGGTGACCAACGATTGGTTCATACGCCATTTGTTCCCGCAGGATACTGGAGCCCATGTGCACCATAGAATTGGGATCCGGTTATAGCACCGGACGTTCGCTTTTCGTCCTCTCATTTTCGTAAACAACACCCCCGCCACGAGAAGGCAGTGAGTAGGACTTCCCTGGCAGAGGCTGTATACGCGTGGCCGTGTGAGAGTATTTCGAGAGGGAGGGCGAACCCTCCCCGCTCTCGGCCATACCAGGGTATTTGGGGGCGCTTCTCCGTCAATTGTGATTGGATTGTTACATGCTGTGTTGTATCGAGGAATCTTGCTTTTCCCTTTGTTTATATTGAGACCTATTGCTGCTGAGGCTGCAGCTACACTGGTTGTCTTCTCCTGCATTTGTTGTTGCGTATGCGATAGAAGAGCCAGATCATCTGTGTGTTCTAGATCATCCAATTGCATCCTAGCTATCCACTGTATCCCGTGCTTTCCTTCAGATGTTGATGTCTTCATGATCCAGTCGATCACCAGGATAAAGAGAAAGGGTGAGAGTAAGCATCCTTGCCTGATACCGGTCTTTACTTCAAACGACTTTGTCAACTGTCCTCCATCAACGATATTGCAGTTTAATCCATCGTAGGAATTCCGTTTGATATTGACTATCTTCTGAGGCACGCCGTAGTGTCGTAGAAGCTTCCATAGGGTTGTTCTGTCCACGCTATCAAATGCTTTTTCGTAGTCGATGAAGTTGATATAGAGTGATGAATTCCATTCAATTGATTGTTCCACAATGATCCGTAGAGTTGCGATTTGGTCTGTGCACGATCTATCCTTACGAAATCCTGCCTGTTGGTCTCGAAGTTGGGCGTCTACGGAGTCCTTCATCCTGTTTAACAATACCCTGTTGAAGACTTTTCCTGGTATTGAGAGGAGAGTGATGCTCATGTAGTTATCACAGTTGCTGAGATCGGCTTTCTTTGGTATTTTGACTAGAAGTCCTTTTTTCCAGTCTTTTGGTACCTGTTCCTCACCCCAGATCTTTCTGAAGAGAGTTTGGAGTATCCTTGCAGTTGCCGCTACGTCTGCTTTCAGTGCCTCAGCTGGAATGTTGTCTGGTCCTGCTGCTTTGCCACTCTTGATTTGTCTGATAGCCATGCTGATTTCTTCAATTGTTGGTGGGCCAACATCGATTGGGAGGTCCGTGAGTGCTGCTTCGATGTTGGGTGGGTTCAGTGGGACTGGTCGATTCAAGAGTTCTTTGAAGTGTTCTACCCACCTGTTTCGTTGTTCTTCAATGTCGGTGATTATCTTGCCTTTCTTGTTTTTCACTGGTCGTTCTCGTTTACAGTGATTTCCAGAGAGTTTCTTTGTTGTGTCATACTGTTGTCTTATGTTTCCTTCTTTTGCAGCCTTTTCCGCCGTCACTGCTAAATCTTCCACATATTTACGTTTGTTGGTTCAGATGCTCCTCTTCACTTGCTTGTTTAATTCGGTGTATTCGGCTTGTGCCTTGGCTTTTTCTGCTCTTGTTCGGCTGGTATTGATTGCTGTCTTCTTGTTCCTCCTTTCTTGAATCTTATCCAGTGTATCAACGGTGATCCAATCCTTGTGATGGTGCTTCTTTTGGCCCAGAACCTCATGACATGTTGAAGTGATTGCTTCTTTTATCTCTTTCCAGTTGCTCTCCATAGTAGTTTCTTCTCCATTGAGTAGATCATGAAAGGCCCGGAACTTATTGCTGAGGGTTATCTTGAATTTATCGAGTTTGTCATTATCCCGAAGAATAGCCGTATTAAATTTTTGTGATATTGCCCGCCCCGTTGTCCAGTGCCTCTTGAGTTTCAATTTCATCTTGGCGACCAGCAAGTGATGATCTGATGCTATATCAGCTCCTCTCTTTGTTCTCACGTCCTCCTGAACTTTTTGTTGATGCAGATATGACCGATTTGGTTCTGTGTGCTGTGATCCGGTGAAGTCCATGTGGTTTTGTGTATGCGTTTATGTGGGAATATAGTGCCGCCTATGACCAGTTTATTGAAGGCACATAGATTTGCAAATCTCTCACCATCCAAGCTAGTAAATAAAAATTTGATTGCGAGAATTGTGATTATATTGGGATGGATTTGACTTTTTGTGATGATTTAGTATCAGATGGGTTTTGTGGATATTTTAGTAATTTCAGTTGTGAAAATTCAACGGAAGGTTTAGGCTACTTATTGATAATAAGTAATAGGATATAAAAACTAAAAAGACAAGATTTGGAGCTGAAACGGAATGCTATAATTGAAGTAACAGGAATTAAGACAGAACTAGTGTAATTTTATAACTCGAAAAGTCTCTCGAGTAATCAGGCTGAATATTGACAAACAGCGTACATCCGTCAACATATCCCACTCATAACTTGGCTTTGAACTAGTAGCTGATTGTCCCGGGATATCAGTAGGTCCAGATCATCCACGAACTCTATGAAAACATCACTCAGTGGTCTGAATCATGCTAAAAATTAGATGGATTTTGAAATAAAGTAAAGACCATCGAAATCCATATAATTCCGCCCCTAAATGCCCTGATACTTTTAAGTGTGTATAACATCTCTTTATCCAACTGCTCTCTCAATTACCCCCTCAAGTAAAGAAGTTTCACACACTACATTAACATAGTGTGGCTAAGGTAGTAAATGTCTGAAGCTTAAACTGAATTATTGTATATATAGGGTCTGCCTACGGTAGTTGGAAACCCTTGATTTCAAACTGAGTGTCCTCATGGGTTACAGGGTCCTGGGTGAATGAATACCATATGAACCAACTTTGACCACTGGCTACCATGTGATTGTATTCCTTGACGCTGCTTCATTTAGTCCTGGACTACATTTTGGAGGTAAAATTTAAGGATTGTCTCCTCAGAAAACCACTTGACTCGGTTTGTGAAGTTGGATGACATCATGACCCAGATGAAGGAGGACTATCTGCCTAGTTAATGTTATAGACGATATTTGTATCTATATAAGAGGCATATTTATTTTTTATTACTTTGACTCTTCTTGGTTATATTTCCTTGTTAGTTTGATTTATCCTTTTGGTGCCACGTTTTACAAAAAGTGGTACTAAAGGAATACAAGTTGACATGAATGTCCTGACTAGAATGCTAGTTGCAACAAGCTGCTTCGTTACATTCACGTACTGAGCTTTCTAAAATGCTGTGGAATGCGCGTAGCTGACAACAGAAATTAAAGCCAAGCATTATGAGATGTTGTTTATTAATATCATACATGTACAAAAAAGAAAAATACTAGTATTAAAATGTGTTCAATTACAGAATAGCATTAACAGCTGGTTAGAGAATATTTTACAGCTAGCAATTAAAGAGGGGTAATTAACACAAAACAAACGATGTCAACTCAGAAGTTCCGTCCACGCCCCCGACCACTACGACCAAATCGAAATCGGCCTTTATTCGAATCAGTAGTGTCAACACGAGACCACTGTCCGATTGGTGGGGTATATAGTAGTCTATCACCACGTGGTTGTCGAACACCTGTATTATGGTAATTACCCAAATCCGTGGAAAGAGGACGCTTTGTACCTAGAATCGAATTAACAGGTGATTGAATCCATGACAATGTTACATTGATGGTTTTGAACATTGGAGGGTTGTGAAAAAAGCAACGTATCATTCGCTGTATGTTCATCATAAGCTAACAAAAAAGAAACAAGTAAACAAACTATCTGATACTACACGTAAATTAACTAGCGATTGCTTAGAAAATATGTACAGTTATAAAGTGCATTGTAACTCACAGGGATTTGAGACTAAAATGCTCCACAGAACGTACGATAGTCCTTTTCCAATGAGTTGGAATTTATTTATTTATTTGAACACATAAATATTGGTACAAGGGGGCACCAAATATATATGGAAGCAGCAGCTGCATCTGATAACTTCCGGAAGCTCTTCCAACTCATTCGACTCACTGACAACAAGAAGTCCGGTGTGAATGAAACGATCTGTGTAGGTGACGGGATGCCAATCATTAACTTCAGCCGACGTCTTCGACGGTGGGCAGAATGTCCTGAGGAACAGTTCAACTGGTCTGGTGCCTCGGTAACGTCGATCAGACTGTCCTGTCCTCCATGGCCCGTGACCACTGACCCGTCTAACGAAGCGGAATTCCGCAAGCAACTCCAACTCTTGAAGCGCCATAAATCACCAGGCCCAAATGACTTATCTCCAGCCCTTTTTAGAGATGATGGTGACTTTCTGGCTAAGACATTGACTGAGTTGTTTACAAACGTCTCGCAATTGAAGTGTTCCAACATTACGGAATGAGTCGATCGTTGTCCCTATCTTTAAAAAGGGTTCACGTCGTTCCTGTAACAACTATCGGGGGATAAGTCTACTTCCGATTGCGTCCAAGGTATTGGCTTCCGTTATACTTCATGGCCATGCGTATATAGCCTCTGCCAGGGAAGTCCTACTCACTGCCTTCTCGTGGCGGGGGTGTTGTTTACGAAAATGAGAGGACGAAAAGCGAATGTCTGGCGCTTTAACCGGACCCAAACCAATGGTGCACATGGGCTCCAGTATCCTGCGGGAACAAATGGCGTATGAACCAATCGTTGGTCACCGGCTACCATGGGACTGCATCTCCTTACGATGCTCCACTGCCTTGTGGGTCAGACGTTCAGGTCAAAGGCTCGGGGTGTGGTCCCCTAAGAAAACCACCTGCTTCGGTTTGGGCACCCGAGCAGTATCACAGCCCTCACACAAATCAATTGAGATTTGTGTGGCGCATATGTATTTGGTGCCTCCCTGTACCTATACTTATGTGTTAAAATGAATGAATGAATACTTCGTAGGTTGTTCAAAACCCGAGAGGGATTGACACACGAGGAGCAGGCTGAGTTTCGTTCTGGTCGAGGATGTATTGATCATATCTTCACCCTCCGCCAAATGTTAGAACACCGCCATACTTATCAAAGGCCAACGATCGTAGTGTTTCTTGACATCAGGGCTGCCTTCGATTCGTTGGACAGAACTGTTCTCTGGGAGTGTCTATTGAAGAAGGATGTGTTTGAGAAGTTAATTAACAACTCGAAAGCCCGATATATTAACACCTCAGGCAGAGTGACGGCATACAACCACCTCTCTCCACTGTTCCATTCAAATAGTGGGGTTAGGCAGGGTTGCCCAATCTCACCATTCCTCTTCAACTTTGCCATCGATGACATTCTGGAAACAGCTCTGACGGACGTAAGTAATGGTGGTGTGGATCTGTTGCCTGGAGAAAGACTTCTCGACCTTGAGTATGCGGATGATATTGTCTTACTGTGCGAGAATGCCCAAGCCATGCAATCCGCACTTAATCAGTTGGCAATCAGTGTCCGTAGGTATGGTATGCGCTTTGCACCTTCGAAGTGCAAAGTACTTCTACAAGATTGGCAGGATTCTAATCCTGTACTCACTCTGGATGGTGAGCAGAAAGAAGTAGTCGAGAAGTTCGTGTATCTAGGTAGCTGCATAAGTGCTGGTGGTGGCGTGAGTGATGAAATCAATGCACGTATAGTGAAAGCCAGATCGGCTTATGCCAATCTGGGCCATCTTTGGGGCCTTCTTGATGTTAGGCTGGCTGTAAAAGGTCGGATCTACAACGCGTCGGTGAGAGTAATTTCGCTCTATGCTTGTGAAACCTGACCTCTCCAAGTTGAGGATGTTAGACGACTCTCTGTGTCTGATAGTCCTTGTCTCTGCAGGACTGCTAACATCCAGCGGCAACACCATGTTAGTAATGAGGAGGTACAGTACTAATTGGTGACACTATCTTGAAACACCGACTTAGGTGACTCGGACATATCCTACGAATTTCGTACCAGAAAATTCCACGTCGTGCATTATCTGCCGACATTGGGAGTGGTTGGAAAAAGTCGAGTGGTCAGTGTATGACATGGTGTGGTGGTATGAAGGGAAGCTATACAGAACTGGCATTTGTTGGCCCTTCACGACTCCCTGGTTAGGGTCCTACAGATCGTGAAACATAGTGGCTACAGACGTTATCAGACATGTCTCAGAATAGAAGACAGTGGCGATCCCGCCGTAACTGTCTTTTACTTTATAAAAAATGAACGTAATTTCTTTAATTGGAAGAATCCTTTCTGGTTATATTTTTGCTAACTGAACTGTTTCTCTCATGGTTATCATTATTATTCCACTCTCATACATTGATTTCTGTTCGCTGTTTTTATTATTTTTATGCACACTTTACATCCTCTATCTCTTCACAATCTCATTGTTATTGTGAAGCGTATATGCATTTGGTGCTCCCCTGTACCAATGTTCATATGTTCAGATAAATAAATAAGAATACATTTAATTGAACCAAATATACCCCATTTTTAACTCACTTTGTAGAAATTAGGTTAAACAAATCGTTTAAGAAGATCTATACAAAAAAGATGAGTCCTTCGGAAGTGGGGTGTGTTGAACGATATTGGTTAATTCTACTTACCAATCGAAACCAAAAAATGTTTGCAAACACACAGAATCAGTTGCTTGGCAATTAACATAAGTAGTGGTCAAATTATACTGTATGAAATAGGTTTTTTTACAATAGGTTCAGTTTTGAAAAAATATACCGATTGAGTTAGGCTCTTTTCAATAATTAGAAGAAAATTTTTGATCTATTGAGCTGTAGATAGCAAAGCAAACCTTTAAAGGTGATGGCACAAAATGAAAACTTGACTAAAAATGGCTACTGATCAAATCGAGTGCTTTAACGCTGAGATTATTCCCAGCATATTACGTTTGTATTTCTGTAGATTCTATCTATTGTCTCCATTTATTGACTCCACCTCCTGTTGTGGCTTAGTAGTTAAAGTAGCTAGTGCGGTATTATCATGATTTCTATGGTAAAAATTGTCTTGAAGACAAATACACAAACCTGTGCTTGACAAATAGGCCATAACAGATATCACCATAAAACTTAAAGGGTTCCATCAATCGCGTCACATGATTTTTTAACATACCTGGTCACTGCTCAAAATACGAATAGAAGTTGGTGATTTGGGCTATAAGTATAAATTTGAGTAACTTTTATTGGCATTGAAGTTATCTATTAAATTAGACATTTTTTAAAATTCTGAGCACCAATATGAATAAAACCGAGAACATAAATACCCCTCAACAGATTATTGGAAAAGCTAAAGAACTCACTCTGTGAGCCATGATTCGAAGCTTGCTCTCTTCAGACTGTAAATTCTTATCCAACTGACCAGATATTGTTGTTGCATAATCTTGTGCTAGTTGACTTAAGTACTGAAGACGAGGTCTAACAGTACGTAATCTATCGACTCCATCTTCAATAACAGATAACTCAGGTTCATTATCGTTCGCTTTCCCCCCAAAATATTGAGGATAATAACATCCAAGCTGGCAGCATAAAAACAAACTTGCCTCTAACTCCGAAAACTTCAAACCCATCTGGTTTAACGTTGGCTTTTCTATAGAGGGCTGTTTCATCTAAAGATTATTAATAACGAATATTTGTGACCTACGTTGTCAGCTGTTTCTTCCGAAGGGATGTTAGGTAAGAACATTGATAGTACATTAAAAGCAGAGTTTAAATATTTCGTTATATCCTCTGACTTTATGGATGCAAGTGCTGGACTTGGGAAAAACAGTAGCTCTGCGGTCAATTGAAGTAAGCTAAGTCGTTCGTCGAAAGTGTCTTCAGCAAAGTCACCAAATTGTGGTAGGAATTTTTCCAACATGTATATGTACAAGTCATGAGCATTAACGTTTTTCTGTTTAGGAAATATCTATCAGATAAAGTTACTTACAGATACACATAAGGCAGCCTGTCTACAACTCTCCCGAACTTGAGCTATACATGCCCGATCACTAGCCTTTACATATTACTACAACTTCGAACTGACTTACATTGAATGTAGGAACGGCCTGCAAAGCTTGTTGAGAAATCATGCCGACTAGTTTTTGCCTGCCAGTCAGTGTAGACATACATTTCAGAGATGATAGTAAGGAGATTAACATTGGAAACTCATCCTCAGAAACATCATGTAGCACCCGATTAGTTTGTTCAACCACAAAAGACTCCAGATCACTGGTTAACACATTATCTGGTAGACTTTTTAAACGTTCACATAGAAATTTGAGAGTATTTTCTCTAGAATTTTCTGCATTCATTGAAAGAAGTCGATTGAATATCCCTAGTAAGGTTGCTTTCGGCTCCGAATGAAGTAGTTGAGATAAAGCCAAAGAAATCACATTCAGCTCCTAAACATCGCACACTAGTTAAGATTAATTACCTTCTTATCATCTGTTTGGTACATTTGAACGAGAACATCAGCAACACGTGGGACGAACACCCGTGCATGTTTACAAAACTGTAACAAATCGTGCACCACTTGACTTCGAACGTTTACATCGTCGTCGTCACATAAATCCAGAAAACAATTGAAACTTTCCTCCAATAAATTCTCGAAAAGTTTGCTAAATCTTGCTATAAACTGACTTGACAATCTTTTTGTATTTTCATCGCCTTTAACACCTACAAGTACTGTTTTGTAGGCATTTTCTCTCTAATAATAGACAAAAAATTAGAAAATCACAGTCACAACCTCTTTTAAATCTATAGAACTGTCGGCTAGTTTATCATAACATGAGTACAAATCGTCCGTTGTCGGTAAAGTCATTGGGTAACACACACCATCAAATACCCGCCTATACAATTCAGATTCAGATTTGTATAGTAAGGACAGAAGGCCTACGGCCTATGTTATTCCTTTTCTAGTATGCTTCTGTGAGTGTCCAGTCTTCTCTTGAAAGAGTCAATTGAAGGTGTGGACACCAATGCTTCGGGCAGCATGTTCCAAGTATTGATGACTCGGTGTGAAAACCTATATGCCAGGGGTATTTTGTTCGTTCTTGGCTTTTCCACCCGCCTGCTATGTCCTCTGAGATGTCCCGATCTAGTGGGAAGAAAAAGAGAGAGTAAGTTAGGTCCAAAATCATTTCTCAGTATTCTGCACATCAAAATTAGATCTCCCCTTATTCTGTGATAGGAGGGGTGAAGAGATCTAGCTTTTCAAGCCGCTCTTTGTATGGTAAACCCCGGAGTTCTGGAATTGCACGGGTAGCTGCCCTCTTTACTTTTTCTAGAATATCCGGGTCACCTTTTAAACAAGGGCTTGCAGCCTGAACGCAGTTCTCGAGCTTAGTTCTCACTAAGGATATGTATACTTTGGTGAACCCAGAGGGTTCGAAACCCCTTAGCTGTGACCTCCCGGCAATGGGCTGTCGTCTTAAAATCCTTACTTACTGTCACCCTCAGATCCATATGAGACCAAACCACTGGTAGTGGCACTTCCCCTATTTTATACCTGTTAACATTTGAGTCCCCGAAGTGCATGTAGACACACTTTTCCGCGTTGTTAGACATGAGCCACTCTTTAGACCAGTTAATTATATTATTTAGGTCTGCCTGAAGAGCATATGAGTCTGTGTCTGCAGTTATTACACGCGAGATCTTTACATCGTCAGCGTACAATAACATTGGAGACTGTACCATACTTGGAAGATCATTGACATACATTATGAAAAGTAAAGGACCTAGGACGGAACCTTGAGGTACTCCACTAAGTACTGGTCTTCAGATGGAGCACTTGGGATTTATTCTTACCTTCTGTCTACGACCTACTAGGAAATCCTTAATCCATTTTAAAAGAGGTCTAGCAATACCAAGGTTTTCCAACTTCAATAACGGTCTATTTGTTGGCACCTTGTCAAAAGCCTTACTGAAGTCTATATAGACAACATCCACTGAGTTTCCGTTGTCTAGCGCCTTTATCCGAAATTCCCTTGCTAAAAAAAGGTTCGTTGTACAAGATAGACCCTTTCTAAAATCATGTTGTTCTATGTTTAACAAGTTATTGGCTTCCGTAAGTGCCACTATGGTTCGTTTGATTATTCTTTCCAATAGTTTAACTACAACACTGGTGAGGTTTACAGGTCTGTGTTTCGATGAAGCTTGTCTCTGTCCTGTTTTATGTATAGGAGTAACGATTGCGTCCTTCCAGTCCAAAGGTAACGCACCTTGATCAAGTGACATATTGAATATCACAGTCCGTGGGGCCGATATATATTGTGTAATATGGCGACATCCCAACATTTCTTCTTTTGTCTTAGTAAACGTCGAATATCCCGGCCTGTCCAGGGATGTCCATGCTTCTTCTTCGGGGCTGCCAGTATATGTATGGTTGAGTTACCCGATTGCATAACTGCCTGAAATGCGTCCATGCCTCTAGCACTGATGCCCTTGAGTCAATTTCCCAGTTTTTAGCCGATGCTGCGGAGTTGATGGCCTCCATATCTGCCTTCCATATGTTAGGACGAGCCGGTGCAACTGTTTGACAGGCAATTTCAGTCATGAATTTGAATAAGATGACTGCGTGGTCGCTCCTCCCTAGTGGTGGGAGGAAAGTCATTTGACCAACGTCGTCACCGTGTGTGAAGACTGAATCTAGAAGAGAAGAGGAGTTTTTAAGTCATATCTTGTGTGAGTTCTAATGTGTTGGAATAAAGCTAATCCAATTGAGGTGTCTAACAGTTTGCAATCGAACGACGTTATCGATGGCCCTACTTCTAAATTAACCCAGTTTATGTACGGTGCATTAAAGTCGCCTACTACAAGGCTTTTACCATTGTTACACCACGACTTAAGTTTACCTAAGAGAAAATCATCTACCACACATTCTGGACTGCGATATACTACAACTAATTCAATATCTTGCCGTCTATATTTCAGCTTGCATCTCACCAGTTCATATGTCCCTGAAATATGTGCCACTGTCTCAGGTGCTCTTATGGTTAGGGTACTTTTCGCGCACAGGATAACCCCGCCTCCCCTACGATTTAATCTATCAGCCCTACTGGATAATAACCAGTCAGCTGAATTTCATTATCTAATACTTCTGACGTTAACCAAGTTTCTGAGACAGCAATAACATCCGGTTTTTCTTTATTCACCACTGACTTAAGTTCCGCCATGTTGTTTGGTAGGTTGCGAGCATTTGTGTAGCATACCTTTAAGTCTGTGAAGAACTTTCCCTTACCACCCAGAGTGGCTTGGGGATCGTTTTGCTCCGAACTTTTACAATTTGAAAATCCTTAAGAACGGGGTTTCTTTCACCGTTTCGGTGACGCTCACTTATTTCTACTTCTGCAGCTCGTCTCTTAATACGATCAGCTAGGCTGAGATCCTCACGGACATGAATTGCCAACCAGCTGCGGTTTGCCTACAGCTCTTTTCTTCACATTTCCTTTTCTCCGTACCGAAGTTCATTTGTCATCACTCAGGACAGCCACACTGGGACTATTTGGAACGATGACAGTTTTATCCGGGTCTTTAACTTCCACTAAAGGCGTATGATTTCCAATGTCACTATCAACCGGCACTTCACTCCTCGTTAATGTTAATGGAGATTTCACTTCTCTGTCAATCACGATCGGGTGTTTAACGGGTCTGGTAGCAGTACTTACTACACTGACACATTCTTCACTGTCAGTGCTCGTGCTGTCACGGCAACCGCCATCGTTTTTCTTGCAGGCCAAAGCCAACAGGCTCTTAGCCTCATGGATTAGTAACTTTTTATTTGTACAGCAAAACATACAAAGCCAACGAGAGTTAGGCTTCGAGCATCTTTTGTATGCCGTAGGACTTAGACGTGTACAGATCTTACGATACCACTTTTTACATTCATCGCACTGCATTTCTTCCTCAATGGGGAACAAGCAGTTTGGTTGTCCACGCTTATAAGTCTTACTAACCATTGTAATTTGATTTAAAAGGTTTAAAACACACTATGATCACAATGTGAACATGAGTGTCAGTCAATTAGTAAGCAATAAAGGCACCACAAGACAAAGTTTAGCAAAAATTTCAAACCTTAACCAAAGTACCTTTAGTTAAAGTAGACCAAGAATGCTTTATGTTGCGACAAGTACACAAAGCAAGGATAATCACAACTAGTACAAAAATCACTCTTTTTGAAACGAAGAGAATTGCACAAACAATCAAACTGTGAAGATTGGAACATAACCTTAGACTTTCAGCTCTTTATATTCCTTTCTATTTATACATAAATGGTCTGTATACAGTATTTATCCATTCGCCACCGTACTTTTGGCCCATTTTTTAAACCTGTTCAGCTACACCTTTAAGGAAGTAAGTCAAAGTTTTTATATCTCATTTATTCCATCACTAATTAATAAACTTCACTAGTCATGAATGCCGTTTTTTCTTCCTATTGGCCTTTTATATTTCCTTCTCTTTTACAACACCTTCCTGATATACCACCAAAAAACGCGTATATGGAACATATGCCTTCGTCCGACGCCTTCATTAAAACTCCCGATAATTCAGAGAACTTACAGTCGTGCTCAAATCTCCGAATTTCCGGAAAATGTTGGGATTTCCGCTAAAGTCATGAAAATTTGTAGTCGTCGGGAAAAAAACCAAATAGATGTGGCGCAGTTATGTGTGCAAGAATCTATTACTAACGGTACTGCTTAAGTCTTTCGAAACATAATAACCGTAAATAATATTTTCCATTATATGATAATCAAGTCCACTATATATTCTAGAATCAAGGTTTTGGCTTTGTTTTAGTATGTTATATAGGCATGAGACACTGAAGCGTTTGTCACACGCCACTTTTTCAAAAATCCTATGCCATGCAGGTGAGTGTTTGCTACTGTTAAAAACTCCCACTACCCCTTCGTTCCAGTCTAACTACAGCTGACTTTTTCTTTTAGACTAATAATGTTGAAGGTTATGAAAGTGGCCAGATACAGGTGGCAGCTAAAAGAATGCCAATTTTGATGGGCTGCCATCGGTTGACATTTCACGGTAAGTTGGAAAAGACATGAGTTTGTGAAGAACTGAAACTTGGATGTCTTTAAAGGACAAACATGTAGCATTGTACGTCCGAACGATATGGGCAACGTTGTGGCTGTGCAGCTGTGCTGCAGAATTTATCCCAATCCTGAGATTGCCTTGTGTGCTCCTACTGCGGTGACCGGTATTCTCCCGTCCTTTTAATAAATCATGTTTAGATAGGAAGAGTAAAGAGATGTCGGCACCTATGCATCTGACAATGAAAGAAAGGCTAGATAGAATTGTCATTCGTATGATGAAGGGAGAAAATATCACGGTCATGAAAGCAAATGAAATGCTAGGCTCTTTTCGAACGGTTATTCCTGAACTCTCGACATCCGTCAGAAGTGTGCTGAGTAGCTGTCACAATGTAGAACCAGAACTTCTGATCTTGTCTTTATCTACCGACTGATTAACGGTGTATCCTACTTTTCGGTATCAACACCTTCATACTCTATGATATCATCCCACAATATGGAAAATATTCCAGCGATTCCAAGAACCCACTTACAACCCTTACGCCAGAATTCTTTCGTTATTCGCTACTCAACCATGTGGAACAGACTGCCAGTGAACCTCCGTTGCAGTGAAACTACAACCTGGTTCAGAAGTTTCCTTGATGATTTTCTTTCCGAAACTGGATATTGTTACTTATTGAGTATCAATGTATTCAATGATGATTTGCACAATCAAAGTCCGTCATCCATCTAACTGACTGAAAAGCAAAATGTAACCTCTGAAACTTTTCACGTCTGTTTTATTTTATTTCTGTTCATCTCAATATATATAAAGTCTGCT